TACAGACGTTAATATAATGTACACGTATACACACATATGTCCTATTGTATATATAAAACGCACGTGTGTGTATTAGGCGGAAAAATTTATGTATTGCACGAAAGGGCGGGACAAAAAAGTCCTGTCGTATGGCGAATTAATACATAGCGGCGAAAGATCGGGACATTTAGTGCTGGACAGTTGAGATAAATTTCATGTCCTTTTAACTCTCCTAAAATTTTCGGGAAATCAGCGTACGTATTTATTACGTCTAGCTAACGGACAATCGAGAAATTATCTGGTTAAAATATATTTTTGACCTATAATTGCCTTATTATAGTTTATAATATAATTACTTCGGCACTGTATGCACAAAAATAGTGTATAATATAATCTATGATATTATATAAATAAAAAAATGTCTTCAATTATTTAATTCAGTTATATATATATATATATAAAATTAATTATTCCCCATTGCCTGTCTTTCCCGGTTCTTTCTTTTCTCAGAACGCTACCTTGGATCTTTTCCACATATCGCATTAAATTCGCGGAACCGTACGCACGTAGACGCAACAACGGATTAAGAATGGACCGTCCGGTCCTCGCGCTTCTCAAACTCCCATTTGAAAGCGATTCGCGAAATAATAATCGCGAATCGATAGAGGAAAGGAAAAAATCACGTTTGACGGCGATCGTGTCCTCACCGACCGCCCTTTTCCGAGCGACTTGCTTCGAAGTTCGACGGAAACGTATTATCGGGCCGAGGGGCACCGAAAAAGTTTTCGTGTCCTCCGTGAGTTACGCGGCGGCAAAACGACATCGCGAAACTTTCGATGCGTTTCGGATTCGAATCCATACGGCGTGATCATACGACGCGCGGCCGTGCCGCGAATACGAATTAGCCGTACCGGCGACACGAGTATAACGGGGGAGTTCCGCATGTTCCTTCCGCGTGTAGATGAAGATTTTCAGTAGCTGCCGCTCGGGGCGTACGAATGGACTGCTAATTCCGCGTTTATATCCCGACGAGAAAGCGCAAGAAGAGCGAATCTTAAGTCTTATCGTTTTACTAATCGAGCGATATAAGAGATTCCAGCTGAAAAGTGATATCTAATGAAAATATTTAGCGAATGGAAACTCGGACTTTTTTTCTATGTACTAAAAAAATGAGCAAAACAACTAGAATAATTTTACTTTTACTCTTTGTATTTAAATTGCTAATGATGTGACGATGACGGAATTTGTATGATTTGTTAAGAAATTCAAATTCCAAGACTACATTTTTTTCCATGGCCGATCACCCACGATTGGATAAACACTCTCTTTTCCTCTCGCCCTTAATCGAGGCTAATCTTCCGATAAATTAACCCATCGTCACGCGGTAAAGAGGCCACGACAGCTGATGTACGCGTAAAACCCTAAAACGACGTCGATCGCGGAGAGTCCTCCGCAGGCGGTCCTGCGCCGGTAAATATCCGATTAATCGGCGCCATCAAATCGCCAGTTTTCACCGTTATTGTCAGTTAATCACTACGATGAAGCTTAGACACGCATCGGGGCGTGTAATTTGCGCGATTTTATGGGACACTTTGGTCTCTGCATAATAATTTCATCCTAAACCGAAGGGATAACAAAAGAGAGAGAGAGAGAGGGGGGGGTCCATCAGAGAGGGTTTAGGGAAGAGGCAGTCGCCGATGGGGAGGGTTAAGGGGTGGGACTCCGGGAACGCCGAATTTGTATAGCGGACTTTCTACAGGAAGGGAAGCCGAATAATGGGCGTAGTTTTTAACGACAAATTTATGTCTCGAGCACGCGTTGTATCTCAAAGCGATTATGCGAGGTGTCAAGGAGTATTCACGACTGTTTGGCTCGCCGGAACCGCCTTCGAAATTACCCGCATATATTTGTAGACACGAATATAAATATAACGAAAACGTATAGCAGTAACAGTGGCAGGACGGCGCGGTGGCGAGCCGCTCTTATTTGCTGAGAATAACGTGATACCTCGTGTGCTGCGTGGTTTATTAAAGCGGAGGTATATTTGACAGATAAGCTCGCCGTGGCAACGCCGAGGTAACGCAATGATACGTGTGGCACAACTAGGATTTAATATTTCACGATCGCGCGCGGCATATGGCGTGCTCTACTGCGCGCTTATCGGAGCTAACAAATTATTCGTAATAATCCTGTGAAACGGTGTTTAAATAAGAACGCTTTTATTGCCACTCGATTCGCGCTACGTATTCGACACGTCAAACGTTGGCTCACCTAATGACAGAAATATCCTGGCCCAGAGAATAATCGATAATTCGAGAAAAACAAGATCCCGATATAATGTTAAATAATAAGAGTTATATAGAAGAAACACAAAAAATATTTAATAAAAATTGTCATATGTATAATTTATCATTGAATTCTTTGAAACGTAACGAGATGATCGTTACAAAAGTAAGTAACTGGAAACAGCAAGATAAATCTTCAATTCGAGAGAAGAAAAAATTCCACTCGAGTGTCGAACCTTTATTGCGCGTCGTTACGCATCTGCACAGAATTTGTTGGAAAAATAATTTTCCTCATCGTCGTGATCTGTTATATATAGTTCGCGTAATGGGAGAGATTGTCCTGAATGAAACCGAATTTTTCGCTCGCGAAAAATCCGCGCGGCGCGAACGGGAAACGAGCGGTTTCCGCCCGAGCCGGACGACTGTTCCTCGCGAAAATAATACGCGCCGTAAAACATCCGGCGATGGGAATCAATACTTGTCGCTGGCTGCCCGCGTCGTGTTTTACATATAATTTGCGAGGAGCGTCCGTAGAGGCGCGCGGAAGGCCGGAAGACGGAAAGAGGGACGGCGAGAGTTTCCTCTTCCTCGTCCTGCCCTCGAGAAAAAGTCGCTTCTCCATGAAAAGGACTGATCCTTCGGGGTCAAATAAAATAGATTTAAATCCCGCCCGGTCTTCTCGCCGAGGAGAATACCGGCCTCTTTTCCGTTTTACACCGTTGCCCCTTGCCAAGCGTTAAGAATCGACATGATAATTAAATAGAGGGTACAAGGAAAAAATGCATATACTTTGCAAGTGTCGGACTTGCGATAATAGAAATGTTCGGTCCGGGTAATCCACTGTTTCCGAATTACGAAAAAGCGTTCGAAAAGGTTTCTTGCGAAATTAGACAACAATTTGTAGCGCGAAACGGTGTTGCAAAAGCCTCCTACGCGCGCAAGTGCAATATTAATGCGACTGGTGATTAATACGATGCAACAAATATTGGCAACTGCGCTGCTTGCCGGCTATTATTGCGTCATGCTGCTTTAATAATATCCATTATTGTTTCATTATTAATAATACGCACGTATTTGAACGTGGTAATGATGATACCCTGTAAGCTTATTTCGAGCCTTCATCATAATCGGGCCGCATTAGCATAATTACTCTTAAACGATCGATCTCGGCACGCTCGCGTTTAATGATGCAGATACTGCGCTCGGACGTACACTGTCGTTCAAAATGTCACGTCTGTGTATTCATGATTTTTCGCAACTCCAACGTTTTACTTGAAATTTCACCCCTCGTTTGAATTGAATTTTTTATCAATTAGTAATGATTTTGTGGCAAGACAAATTTTACAAATTATATATCGTAGCTACAACTGAAACATTATCATTCCATTCTGCTAAATTTTAATTCGTCCTTACAGAAGCGTTTAGCACGTAAGATCGGAAAGATCTATACGTTTAAAGCATGAATGTAAAAAATTTCAAACCGAAAGAAATCTGCTCCAAGTTTGAGAATATTTATCTCACATACGGTGAGCGGAAGAAATTTGCGAGGAATTCGTTTAAGGACTATACGGTCGCACGTCGAACCGGAGCAGCTCCTTCTCGTGCCAGTGCGCGGGGAGAAAAGGGAGAATGCGAAAGGAGAGACAGAGAGAGGAGAAGCAGCATACCCCACCTACGCGGCGCTTAATGACCGGGAGCGCGAAGTGCAGTCAGCTGCCGTAAATTATCCGTTCGGTCGAAGGCGAGTCTAAAACGCGGATCCAATAGACGAGAGCGGAACCGAGCGACGAAGCGCGGCCGACATTACATTGGTCGGCTGCCAGAGAGCCGGAGAGAGAGCCGGCGAGTTCATCCGACATTAGTTACGTCAACCGCGCGCCGTACCGAGGGCGACGCGGCGATGGTTCATCGGTATGAAGTAACCGAATTCTCGTTGACACGTGTATACGTATCGGCATACGTACAGCGGGCAGGCAGGAAGCGGAGCAGGCCAAATGGACCATCGACAGCGAATAACTCGATTTGTTCTGTCTACGCGTATACTCGACTGGCTGAAACGCTGAAAGGCCCCAAAGGGTAGGTAGGTGGTGGACAGAAGTCGAGTGGGCGGGAAGGATGGAGCTAAATGGTGCGAGAGGGTGAAGGGAAGAGATACGGTAGGAGACGGTTAGGTAGGTAGCGAGAGGAAGGACCGACGGAAGGAAGGAAGCGAGTTATCGAGACAGTAGTGTCACCGTAGTCGTGCGGAGGTGCCCAGTCGTCGAGCAAACTAGAGGGCCAGTCTCAGAGCCAAAGAGGCTCAGTCAGCCAACCAGCCAACCAGCCAGCCAGCCAGCCTGCCTGCCTGCTTGCCTGCCAGCGAACGTACACGAGCGAGCGAGCGAGCAAGCGGACGAGCGAGCGAACCAGCAAGTTCTTGTTTTATTCAGTCGGGATCATAAATTACGAATTTAAACACACAATGAAAGACGCTTAACAAGAAGCTAACGCGAGATTGAGAGGCCCCGCCCGGAACACCTCTCCTTCCGGTGGAAAACCACCGGGCCGACCAATCCGATGGCGGTACCGCCCCCGGGCACTTAAACGACCCACGGACGGCACGCCAATCGACTCGCGTCGAGGGCCGACCCATCTCTCCCTCCGCCGCGGCGGTTTCCGGAACGCGCGCGCGAGGACGAGGGCAAGGACGAAGGCACAGGAGAGAGACTCGATCTCCCGCCGGAGTGAGAGCGCGCGCGCCCGATGCACACTGCTCGCACACCATTTGGCGACGCGGCGAGTCACTCGGCGAGGATCCCGTATACCGTCGCGGCACGGACAACGACGACTTCCTGATCGCGCGTGTCGGCCATCCGTCGATGACAGTTCAGGCCCGGAACAGCCCGTGACTGATCCATACGTTCCGCGATCATACGTTCTCCATGTCATCGCGCGGAACCGGCGAACCGGTGACTGCTCACGGTGTGCGGTGACTACTTCTTTCCGCTCATCGATCGTCCACTCGCGCGGAACGTGTCATCGTCAGCCTGTCGCGCGCAGACGACGCGTCGTGCGATCCGCGGGAAACCATGATGGGGATCAAGTGATTGACCTGGGTGAGACACCGGTGAAACGGAAGAAACGGGAAAAGGGAAGAAGAGCGTCAGAATATCCTCCCCCTTCGAGAACAGTGCCACTCGCGGTCGCGATCGCGGAGAGTGTCGAGCGTGTCCTGTGTCATCGTCGGTGGTTCGACGTCGTTATTCGAACGAAACGCGCAGTGAGACAACCGTCGTCGCGGTACGCATCTCCGATCGAACGACCGACATCGCCGCGGGACTTCCTCCCCGGCACGGCAGGCGGTACACGGAGAAAACCCCCTCGCGCGCGAGGAGGACTCCGCGGCGGCTCCGAGGCGGCCGCACGCCTCATCCAGCGCGCAGCTAAGCACCGGCTAAGATTTTTCGCTCACTACCGAACTATGCGTGGTGCGAGATGGTGTGTTCTCTGACTAGCGGCAAGGCCTGCGCCGACAGCGGAGACCCGTGCCCGGACCCGCCATCGCGCTCCACGCCGGAGGGCGGCGGACTCGAGATCGCCGAGAACATGTCGTCGTCGCTCAGCGACGCGCACCGACGCAACAATAACCACCATCTGGACCAGGGCGACCGCAGCTCGTCCGCGGGTTCCTCGCTGGGCTCGTGCTCGCCGCCGCCCGCCTCGAGCCACTCGCCGCCGCCCCCGCGGCCGCCTTGGCTCCACGACTTTCATGCGGCGGCCGCGCCCCACGTTTTGCAGTTTCTCAATCTGAGTGCCGCCGGGGGCGGCATGCTCGGTAGTCAGCCGCTGGCAGCGCTGCACTCTATGGCAGAGAGGAGTCATCAGCATCAGCAGCAACAGCAGCAGCAGCAACAGCAGCAGCATCAGCAGCAGCAGCAACAACAACAACAACAACAGCAACAGCAACAGCAGTCGCATCAGCAACATCATCCGCCGCATCAGCAGCAACAGGGCGGCATTCAATTGCCGCGTATCACAGTACCGTTATCCACTATCACGCAGGGCCAATCGTCGCCCACCGGCAGCGGCAAGCACAGCCCGGCGACCTCCATCACCTCCGTCGGCAGCAACCCCCACGGCATCGACACGATACTCTCAAGACCGACGGCAACAGTTCATCCCCAGACGACGGTACCGCCGTCACACGCGACCCTGCCACCGACCCCGCATCCCCAGCACATGGCCGCGCCGCGATACGCCATGCACGCCGGCTTTACAGCGTCCTCGGGTGCGTACTACCTAAGTTCGATAACTTAAATGCGGGTGATGCGGTTGCATGTATGATTAAGCAAGAATGGCCGTTCTGGCCATTCGGAACCCGTATCGTTCCAGATAAACGAATGTTAGATATGGAGAGAAAGAATCTGTTTGTGAACATTAGATACCTTGGATAACTTTAACATTTTCTTTCGAAAAAGCTTTAGCCTTTCTGACTGATGTCTGACTTATGTGTTCCCTTGAAAACGATAAAAGAAAGTTTTCAGCTTGCTCGGAACGGTCAGGATACTTAAAGTTGCGAATATATGTCATTTACAAATATATATTCCTTCTCTCCTATCTAATATGTTCCAGACATTCAGCATTGCTTGCTAGATCCTTAAAGCTGTTAATTAAATTTCGAGAAGATAAATACGACGTAAAGATGATACATCATTTTGCATAAAGCTATTTTTTGGAACCATCGGAATAATATTTAAGATCATTATTTGGAAAAGTCTCATAAAAATTGTTACATTTATGTCTAATTATAAATTACTGTTTAGCAAAGTCAGAGTATTAAGAAATTGAGATATATTGAAAACTCTAGGCGAGTAACTTTGACAGCAAATATATATAGTGATTAATGATGTGTTTTTTTTTGCAATAAACCTGTCGTTTTACTAAAATATAAAGCTTCAATATAAATTTTCTCACGACAAATGTGATTTTATGACAAAGGAGCTAGCGATCGAGGTGAAAATATCGTTTGAAAAATATTTTGCAAACGTGGAACGGAGATAAACGTCGAGGGTTATTGATGCTTGTAGATATTAGTAGCATCTGCAACGGTAACAATTCGGTATAGCCATTCGCGCGTTTGCGATAGAAAATCGGGGGAAACCACCGTTCTCCACGCACAAATCGTCGCGTGCTGCGATAGCATGTAATGCGGGACGGATTGAACGCATTAATCGTAGAATTACCAAGGGCGGTCGATCGAACAACCGCGGGCCAGACGAAAGCGCGACTAGGAGTTACGAATCTATTACGAAACTATCTGTGCATTCGATACGATCGGCCCCGGCGTATAATTCACGGATTTACATATAGTCGGAGTCTGATTTTCCACTTTGATTCGCGCGCGAATCACTATCGCCCGTTTTAATCCATTCTAGCCTAACGAAGAGATAAATATCAACTGCGGCTTTTGATTTATTGATGAGATAAATAAAATTTGCATAAAGACTCGTGTATACAAGAGTCGTGAGAGAAAATATAAAACTAAAGAAAACGTAAATTATAATAGAAATGCTCTTCAAATGATCTCGGCATCCTATTAATTTCAAAGATGCCATTTTCCTGCTTAAATTCGCCACGGAAAAGTTACGAAGAGCTTCTAATGAAGAATCTCGTTCTTTATGAAATACATTTTTTTGACGTAAATGCACGAGCTTTCAATTCACTTTTACAATGTCACTTCCTCGTGTTTTGTTGTTGGCAGCCCGCGCCATCAAGACCTCGTTTGTGATGTTGCAAATGCATATAACTTTTCCATCGGGTGGCGCGCGACAAAGCAGAAGGCGTTTGTCATCGCCTTGAAAGCTTGTGAAAAGATGTCACGTTCAAGAGCGCTTTCGTGCAACGTTTAACCTCGCGTATACATTATAAGCTAAATACGATGCGGATACCGCATTATTAATATTTGACACTAAATTATTTGGCATTAATGATGATGTGCGCCGCGCGATTTTCGATCTCCGACTGAAGCAAAAATATTTCCGATTGCGGAATTCCAACGGCCGATTTGCTCGCTCAATAGAATCACGTGAATTCACATAGTCCAAGGATCAACGTACGCGTAATGATCCTTGGACTGAATCATGTAAATTCACGTGATTCTATTGAGCGAGCAAAGGATGACCTTTCGCGGCTTATGCCTTGTGCAACGAGTCAAAATATCACCGAATACTGAGCCGAGCCTTACTTTGGAGAGATGCTTCTCGAATCTTTAACAATATTGAAGTCTATAAAAGTGTAAAAGTGCTAACATAATTCAAAAGAATTTATCTCAATAATATCTCGGAGACAATAAAATTGCAGAACGCATATATAATCATTCCAGACTCGATGCCACTCAAACAAAATATGATAATTACTGATTTACTTTACGATCTATAACTATATATAAACAAAATTTGTCTTGTTAGAATGAGGATTATAAATTTTTAGTCACACTTTGTGAAAATCTCCCCCGCATCATTTTACGCGTCACTTTTCATTCCTCGGCTATCAGGAATGTATTCAGGCATCAATTTTAGAATTATCGGGGGGGTCGATGTTATACAACGGAGGGAAGATAGGGTCGTATTATGAAGTTGTGTTCTCACAAATAACGTGTCGTACAATATCGCGGTAATATCGGAGACGTGGGTTTAATTCATAAATACCGGTTATCACGGTTTATAATCTATAATCTGTTAAAATGATTTTATCGCGCGCCTTCTGCCTAAACGGAACGCTATCTAAATGTTATCAGTCTAAATGTAGTGATCTGTAACATTCACATAATTAACAAATATTACGTCGAAAACTCTTGGAATGATTAATACAAACATAGTAATATCTACGAAGCATTTAAAAATGTTTCGTAGCTTTATCTAATACTGAACGAGTAATGTAAATAAGAATAGCCCTGAAATATCCTCTGAAATAATTATCACAGAAATAATTAAACAGCGTCACTTCGCTCGATTTCTTTTATCGCTTTCAATCCCGAACGACCAAAAGAGTACTTTGTTTAACACTTAAATGGCAAATTAAATAAAAACAAGAATGCGAATAAGAATTGCAACGTGACTTTGATTGAAATATTGACCGGAAAGGTGCGGCGGACGCGGAACGGTGGTTCTAAAATTTATGCTTACCGAATTACCTGCTCTCTCCCCTGGTACATTAACGAGCGACGCAAACGAGGGACGTTACTTAACATTCATGGCATTAAATTTCTAAATGATTTGCTCCCGACAGAGCGCGGTTATACTTCGTAATAACGAATCGCTAAACAGCGCGCGCTAATATATCCGCGATTTATATGTTTCGCATGTCGAAATGTGCTAATCGCGAGTTCGATTTTATCGCGTGATAATACGATATATGCGTGCGTAATAATAGCGAAGGAGATAACTTTAAGCTGAACACTCTCTGCGCCTTCTTCAATTTTAATCTCTATTTATGAGATTTCGCTCTATTTTTTTATGTTAAAAATTATTATCTTTTTCTGTCACGATATTATATACTGATAATTAAATGAAAAATCGTGTAATTGAAATAAATAAAGATACAAATAGTTATCTTCTATTTATTTTAAACACTGTTAGAAAATTTGTGTTAAATATAACATAAATCGCATGTCCAAAACGGTCCACTCAAATTTTTGTGTTAATTTAACATAATATGGATGTGTTAAATGGTAACACCGATAAAATTCGTTAAAATATTTCAATAGAAAAGAAATGTAATTCTGATCGTAATTTCACGTTAATTATGTATACAATTAAAATAACTTTTATGTTGAAGTTAAGATTGTAAGATAAAATTAACATTCTTTTTCTGTAAATTGTTATTCCCACTTCTGTTATAGAATAAAATCAACGTTCTTTTTCTGTAAATTTTAACACATTTAATAAATACGTTCAAATTGTGTTACTTTAATATATTCTTTAAATTATTTTAATAATTTTACATTTTAAATTTGTTAAGCTCAATTAACATAGCAGGCATATGTTAAATCTACACATGTATGTGTTGATTATTTTACACAAAAATTTTAACAAGGACCTTTTTTAACAAACCTATTATACAAAAATTTTCCAACAGTGAATTTAAGCATTGTACCTTTGACATATTTTAGCCACACATCTCTATTAATAATTATTTTATTGCTACCTCGATTTTTATTGCTAAATTAGAAAGTCGAGTCACACATCAAGTTGCATGTTACTGATCATTTTACTTACGATCGTATAGAAGAATTAAGAAGGAGACAATATTATATCGCGGGAGGTTACAATAGGTGTTTACAATAGGACGCGAATTATTTGATAGCTAAATAGGGCGACCATATACAAGCGGAAGTTAGGATATTGCGGGTTAACCAACTGACGACCATGCGCGGCTTGGTGGCGAATTCGGATTTCCGCGAGAGGATGCACACGATCCTCTGGTCCACTTTGCGGTTGAACGAACAAAAAGATCGCGTTACGATAAACTACAGCGGTAAACGGGTGCAGTACGGCGATGATAAAAAGTGACGATAAAATAAGGGGATGCGTGTAAATGTAATGCTACGTACAAAAGGAGAGACTTCGCGTAAGAGAGCAGCGTTCGAAAAATAAAGACGATAGTAACGGCTGCGACCGCGCTAAAGCTTGCCGTAAATAAATCCTTCATTACTCCAGTTTTGTAAAAAGAAAAAAAAAACAGAAAGAAACGAGAATCATATCGGGATGCGACACAGCGCGCGCGCGCGCGAGCAATTCAATTTTGGAAAGTTCACCGCAAAAATATCGCGGTTACGTTCTTGCGTCGTTCTTTGTGACGAATTACATTCTGCGGACATTTTTCGCGACGCCAATAATACCGCGCGGAATTATTACCGTCGCTGCTCTTCGCTACATCATCCTTTTTAAAATTGTTATTCTACGCGTTTTGCGCGATTGTGTCTGATCGATTTCGAAGGGGAGGTATAACGCGCGCGGATCTAATATCACTGACATATATCTCGCAGAAATTAGTATCATTCGAATGCCGGAAATCGGGCACTCGTGCCGAAATTGGGCGACAATTCTGCAGGTGTACGTTTCCGAAATAGAGCAACGCCCCTTCGGAGTCGAATATCATGAGGCGGTAGGTTTATCTTGAAAGCAGATATTCACATCATCCTAGAAAAGGCGAACTGCTCGACACGCCATGTGCCTCCTCACGTGTGTCTTTCATTTTTTATCGCCTGTAGTAGAAACCTCGGAAATATTGCGTGACATCTGCTCTGGTTTCTGGTGTCATAAATTACGCCGTTTTCTCGTCCCCCTTTTTAAGCGCACCTCGCGAAAATCTCGAAACCTTCCTCGCGACTCGCATCTTTCGCGACAATGAGGCATTCTCTTTTTATGCGGTGCAATGCAAGGCTACGTGATTCACGAAGGTCTGAAAATTCGTGCGCAATCGAATTGCCGTCGGTGACTGCATTAAGAGGCACCCCGCGCTTGCAATATATAAACGCAGTTATCTGGCGAATTAATTCGGGATCAGCTAATGAGCACGGGAATTGAGACAGAAGCGTAACGTTTCTTAAACACATTTACTTGCGTGCGAAAGGCCGCGTCTAATTAGATGAACTAAATTTTAAAATATGGAAACCGCTGCGGATTTTTCAAAAGATTATACACGTTGCAAATTTGACACGACCGAATAATCCTTATACAATATAGAAATGCCTCGTATGCACTTCGTCAAAATAGTTTTTTAGGCGTTAATATCGGCTTCAAAACGGTATCTTTTCGGATATTTTGCAAAAGCGTACGTTTGGAAATGAAAATATCGAATATTTTGAAACGGCGACACGCGCATGTACCTGATGTGCAAAACGCAACACGCGAACGCACATATAGAATTTTAGCGCGGCAAAATAAAATAGTCATATATCGTTATTGCGTAATCCTGTCAAATGCATTTGCGATATTTGCCTGTATTTCAAATCGGCGCGGTGTATACACCCGGGCATTTGGGGCATATGCGCGTTCGCGCGATGGCGCGTATACGTCGGAACTACCCCGCATGTAATTCGCCATATAATCGTATACGGTTTCAATAACGGTTTAATGGGTAACCGACTTCATTGTCGTATTAGACAGATTACGTCGATTACAAATACGACGAACATCAGCGCGCGGCTCGTATTTACGACGCGAATTCGGTGGCGCGCGAATGTCGCTCTGGTTAGAATTATAGGCGATCACCGAATACATATACGTATATGTATGAGTATCGGCTGCATATATATGTGATACGTACAGTGTACATATTTCTGTATAAATTTCGTCCGCTAAAACACCATCGTCGCGTTTTATTCATATCAATAACCGCCCCGCCGATTTGAACGCGTCGCGACATCGACCCGCGATTCGATTCGACTGATTGAAATAAAATGGTTTAACGAAAAGGATATGCTGTCAAAGATAGGTAACTTGCCAAAGTTATCTTAAAAATCGAGAGCTATTCCCTTTATTCGCGATGCTATTTACAATAAACGTAAAACGTAGAGTTAAAAGAAAATAATTTAACCGACCTATTATTGTCGAGGAAATATTATCTATTTATAGAATATAAAAATATTGGATTATAATCGCGTCACAAAGTACGCCAGAGAATCGCTCTTCTTTTTCACGTTTCGCGCCCGCACTATCGTCATCGCGATTATGCGATTCGCAACGCGCGCCGCTAATTGACATCTGATACCGATCGATCTCTCGCGCGCGCACGCTTTACACCGATGGTCATTAATTAAATTCTCGCCGTACGGACGCGCGCGCGAGACTGCCGATCGCCGCTGTATAAATGACAAAAAGCCCATCAAAATGTGCGGTATTAAACGATAAATATTTCGTCCGCTTACTCGCCCGTCGACGTCGCGTCCGTACCTTATTCACCGCGATATTCAGTGCGTCAAATATTTATAGCCGACGATCACGCGCCGTACGTTTCCCCGATTGGTATAGCAGTCGTTTCAATAAATGCAACGTATTGCATATATACACGTAGGATGTTCTAGTTTGCGTTTTAAAGCAAACTCTTTTTGGCAAAAACGTTGATGCGTCGATATAGCTTTTCTCAGCACAGAGAATTAAATCTCGAATGCTCATGCAAATAAGAGAATTTTATTCTTGATATTAAGTAAGTTTTTCGTTTTTACAGAATTTTTATTTGAAATTTAGTTCGTGATTTACCGTGTTTTATCGCGTCAAGACATTTAATACTAAATATTAAAGAACTATAAAAGATAAAACAGCCTTAAATCTCAAGACTTTCTTCAAAGATTGATTGTTGGAGTATCTGTAATTAAGATTAAGATCGAGTATTCAGGCATCACGCATATACTCCATTTTTAAACGCTTTTAATTGCCCCGATTCACGCGTTCTCGAACGAGGCGTCGTAAAAGCGCGTGCCGGGGGTCCGTTTGAGAATCGAGAAGACCTCACCTTTCCACTCCTTTCCCTCGCCGGGCCCCGGCCACGTGGGCCCCGCCGGACAAAGAGCATGATCGCGGATATTTTTGTTGATGAGCGCCGCGCGCGGGTTAAGCCGTTTATGATCCCATAAATTCCGTCTGATTTCGGCGTAACGGACAAAAGGAGCGGCGATCGGACGGCCGGTATCGCGCGTATCCCATTATTCTCGTTCCTGTTCTCGTCGTCGTCGACGGTAAAATGGAAATGGCGCTTTATTGTTCGGATGGACAAGCGTAGACGGCCGGTAGAAACACGCAACTGAAACGAATTAAACGTGCCCACGCAACCGGGAGCTGCAGCGCTCTCAATCGCGATTATGGCTAATTTTTGAATGCGGACGACGATGTCGCCGATCGTTAGATGATTTTCTTTAGTAAGCGTCGTCCGTGAATGTCCCCGATGAAATATTGCGGGAATACGTGGCCCATTGTATGATAACGATCAATTAAACGTGGGTGTAAATAACTTTCCAAAATTATACTACGAAGATATACATCCTGTAAAGTTCTCGACACCGAAACCGACGACATTGATACAGTTCTGCGTAAGATTCACTAAGAGAGACTCGTGAGCAATTGATTTATTCAATAGAAATACGATCTTATTAATAACCTGATGGACAAATTAAAGCGATGGTCTTTTAAATATTTTAATGATTGTGAATTAATCATTTCGAGCCCGACGTACTAAAACATAAATAATAAATTCGGTCTATAAACGAAATTAAATCATTGCCAACTTTTCTAATTAATATAAGAAGTACAATAATAAAATTAAATAAACAATTACATTCTAAAATTAATTAAAAAATGTAAATGATGTGATAACAGAATGAATTTATTGAAAGAAGTAATTGCTTTTGAAAGTATAAAAACTCATCAGAAATATGCACAAATGCACGTAAGTCTCGCGTCTTTTTCACAAAGACGATAAGATAATAATTCCTGGAAAGGCGAACAATGATATAATTCTGCCGTGTCTTATTCGATTCGCGCGTTTCGATCGGTCAGAGAGAAAGAAAGAAAGAGAGAGAGAGAGAGATCAATTTAATCTCCCTTAATCCGCGCAAAAAGTCCGTCGGATCCCGACGACCGATATTTACGGATTCGATATCTCAGCCACCATTACCTCGCATAGAGCCCGGCTTAAGTCGACTAATTTCTCGCGTTCGAAAGGTCGGATCATTAAGGTCTCCGCACAGCGGAGAGTTGCCGTGGTACCTACCTCTCTCTCGAGGCTGCGAATCGAATTGGCGTCACGTGTGCGTGTGCACGAGTATGCGGTCGCCGATAATCTCGACTAAAACACCAGATTCGAGTAGATACGAATTTCTGCCGAGCTAAACCAGCGGGTGCTGAGGCGAAACGAAAATGCCTGGAGATCTTTTAACAATTTTTTTCCATTTCGTCTGTGTAATTATCTCTCTCTCAATACCTCTAACACGAATTACATTATTCAAATTAGGTATATACAGTGTCAATTATCATGCCATTCTCAACCAATCGAAATCTAAAGGATCAAAGCTGTATGATTCGCAAGAGAGTTAAAATAAAATTGTAACTATTTGTATAATACAATAACGGACGTTTGGAATTTTCTCAATTTGACGTTTAATTATTTGGCGGGGAGGAGGGAAAAGGGGAAGGAGCGAGATTGAAATCTGTCGCGAGGTCGCGTGGCTTATAAAATTGCAGCATTTAAATTCCGCTTGCATATCCCGGGCGAATGCGAGTTGTATGAAAATAGCGTATGATAAAAATGTGAAATGAATCGCGTAGATGTGGAAACGAGCGGGGAGGGAAAAAAACTGAAGCTTTAATAAAGCGGTTTACGGTGGAGAAAACGGGACGACTTGGCCGACATCGATCCGAGGAAGCTGTTTCACTCGGTCAGTAAATGCGCGCCCGTTCTACATCTCGCCGTTGTGCATTTTACGGCTTCCTTCGATTATTACTTCAATATGCGCTGCTATCTGAATTATCGTAAATCCAATATCGTTATCTATAATACGCCGACGAACCAAAGCATATGTTATGCCCGCTGCGTTTAATCCCAATATCAGTTAAATATAGATCAACCATTATTAATATCGCGAATGGTTATTAATGTCATACGCGATACTTTTTTTTTCGAGAAAGAGAAGAAAGAAAAGTACACACGATCACACATATTTCCTGCATCTCGCTGAGATTTCTTAGAAGATTAAAACTTAACACGTTATTTTCAATTTGCAATTATATTTTTTTTGTATCTTAGAAAAGGAATTAGTTAGTATTGTTATGGACCAACTAAAGACTTGCTGCTGTTACTTATTATTTGTAAGCGGAATATTGAGAACCAGATAGCACGTATGTCTGAAAGACGTCGTAAAGATTGTCTGGGAAAAGTGTGCGGCCCCATTGATTCGCGCAGACTTCGGAATAACCGGTCTTAAGTAAAAATTCGCACGTAATACGTAAGTGTTCATTTGTATATCTCCCTAGGTATCGGTCAATTTCAACAAAGAGCGGAACCACGACACACCGCTGTCTATTGGCCGGGCCTTCAGGGACTAGTCAGCGATCCTCTCGCATGGCGGGCAAGATTACACACATGTAAGTCCAATATCTTTCACATACTACATCTCTTATATACATATGTAACATTACATATATGGAAAAAATACCGTTTTGATATTCACATACTCGCGTACGACAACAAAACTGAAAACGATTCATCGCATGATTATATTTAAGTACAACTAATTCAAAGCTTATTGGTTACAAAAGTTTGTTGGAGTGAGATGCTCAACTATATTCAATTATGCCTCACTTGCCAAACTTTGTTCTTAACGTACGCCTCTTAACGTACAGTACTTTCCTGTCTCTCTCTCTCAGCGCTCTCTCTCTCTCTCTCTCTCTCTCTCTCTCTCTTACGTTTCATCTTTTTATCTTACTCGAGCATTTCTTCGAGCATCTTATTCCTTCGGCAATAGAGGGACGTATTATCATTACTTCTAAATACGCGCATTGTCGTACGTCTCAACCGCCTGCGGATGTTTCGTTACCTTTCCCCGGGCACCGTCGGGTTTGACAGCTGCGCGTGTTTGCTTTCGCGGCAGGAAAATCACAGAGCCGAAGTGAAGAAACACGTGCTGCCGAACGTGTCTCCGTTTGTAACGGCGTCCCCGGAAAGTCGTTTGAAGCGACTCTCTCTCTCGGTGTGGGTCGCCTACGGGGAGGAATTTAAAAAATGCGTGGAAACCATCGTCGCGCGCGGAGAGCGCGGGAAAGGAAGTCGTGGAGCGAAGGGCCCGCGGCCACGAAAAGGACGAAGGGGGGAGACCCTCAATCTGAACGGAGACACTGACGTATATAGATGACACACAAACGGAAAATTTGACCACTTGAAAAGACACATCTCCAATAGCCCTTTTGCCGTATGTTATTTAATTTGCTCGAGAATTATCAGGATTTTAGCTCCCTTGGAATCTTCAAATATGGTTAGAAAATAAAGTAATTTTATGGGCTGAATAACGGAATAATTGTAGAATGAGAACTGCCATGCAATATATAAAATATTACATGTTGCATGGGTACCAAGCAAATATAATTGTTTGGCCTATTATATATATAATTGGGAATTTACGGAATTGCACACAGTACAACTGGAATTATGTAGAATAATTTCGAGAAAAATGAAATTTCTACCAGCTATAGCTAGACAAAATTGTGTAGTGCATGCCGCGAGGGATATTGAACGCTGAATTTAAAATTAAATCGAGTTATCGAGTTTACAGTTTCATCAATATAATGCAACGCATACTAATTACTAATTGAATTGCAAATATTCGTGTAATCTATTACTTCCCAATTTACACTAATATACATCATCTTTTACATGCAATTTTGTGGCAAAGAAACGGACGCATGAGTAGCTAAATGAGGTAGGTCAATTCAAAATTTTTCATGTTTGATTCGAAAGCACATAGTTAATTCCGGATTTATCGTATTTAATTAAAATTATTTAATCAAAATCAGGAAGATATACGAGCATTTTTAAGTCGAATAGAAAATAATATTATGCAAGGCATTTTGATCTCAACGTACTGATTATTCAGCGACAATCATAATTTATTAGATTTGTCAATCATATATTAAAGATAGGTTTATTAAATTCGATATCTATCTGACTGCTCCCTTGTATGCGGACCTCTCAATAAAACGTTACAAATTACGAGTTAGAACATCTGTGGAACTTGGCCATTCATATCTAGGTTATATGAGACTATACGATCATCGCGTTTACGTGTAGGCACCGGCCACGCCGATCGCAGCAGGTCGATCCCGATCGTTATCAAGTGCCGACACACTCCCTTCGCACTCCCTCGGGCACTTGGACGGTTCACGCTCAATTAGCCGGCGGGATCCCCCCAACATACATACCGGGACATTCCCGATGGTAGTACGGCTGCCGTGTATACACCCCCGTCCTTACGAGAAGACGATTAAGGGCACCGCAGAGAGAGAGAGGAGAAAGAGAGAGAGAGAAAAAAAAAGAGAGAAAAAAATCACAAACAAAGTGAAGGAACACGTGACGTCCCGTCTGGTTCCCCTTTCGACGGAGACGGACGACGGAGACGGAGAGCGATGGCAAGTGAAGGCGAGAGACGGTGGAAAGACAATACGATACATCAACCCTCTGTGGGGGACAGGACGGCACATGTGCCGCGGCCGCGTCGCGACGTAAGAAGAGCGTGTGGAACGCGGGCGTGGACACACCGTGTGGAGGAACGTGTGTGGGCGCGTGTGTGTTTCGGGTGTGCTCACCGCCGCCGTGCGGCATGTCGGCAAAAGGAAAGAGAGAGAGAGAGTGACAGGGGAGAAAGAGAAAGAGAGTGTCGTACGAACCGTGGGGGGCGAATAAGAGGGTGGTAGCGGTAGTCCGCTGCGGCGTCGGGTCCGGGATATCATCATATTCAATATCAACCCTGGCCCCCAACCCCCGGGTGCGACCGCCGCCGGCCGTCGGCCGCCCCATCTCCGTCGCTCTCCCCGTTGCCTCTCCTCCTCCTCCTCTACCGCGCGCTACGTTTTCCACACTCGCGCGAATAACTCCGGCAATATTTTAACTGCGGCATCGGGGCATCCGCGCCTGCCTTTTCTACCGCCCAACGGTACACGCTGCGGTGGATACCTCCTCGCCCCCTTCGTCGGAATCCTCCTCCCGTGGGGCGACGGAGGAGGGGACAGAGAGACCAGCGTGCACTCCCCTTCGCACGTAACGTAAGAGTTACACCGGCTACCCGGTATATTTTATATTCCGGGGCGAAACGTTGATCGGCTCATGGCCCTCGCGAGGCATCGCCGAACGATCGCCGCGGGAACCGTCGTCTATTTATGCCTCCGCACCACATATATATCCGGGATACCTACAACTATACCCGGGATAAGCCAGCCCGGACCGACTTCCATCCTTCCTGCTCCCGTCACCCTTATTTTCCTCGCACCTGGCAGAGGCTAGCAGTAACAATAATCGTCTCGATATTTGTTAGAGACTTAAGACTCGTATAGCTAATTAAGAACATGAGCTCTAAATTGATTAAAGTATTTGATTTGTATCAATTGTATCAAGAATTTTTCAAAAGTAATTAGAAAGATTTTAATTGTTGGGAATCCTAGTTTTCAACCTGCGTTAAGCCGTAATCACACTACGGGTTGCGGGCTCGGTAACCTGCAACTCAGCCGGTGGACTGCGTTCTGATTGGTTGGTTTCCAACACTCAATCGTAACCTCAACCCGTAACCGAACCCGCAACCCGTAGTGTGATTACGGGTTTAGAGAGGGAAAGAAGAATTACATTTACAAAGGCATTCCTCTTATATCTCAAGAATTTTTTAATTGTATTAATCTTTTAAATGGGGCACGGTTTTGAAACTTTAAAGAATAAACTTAAATTTAGACCTTTCTATAATCTCAATTAATATTTTCGTTGTAGAGTTTTACTGTTACAGTATTATGTATTTTTAATATCGCAGAACTTTGTAACGTTACAAAAGTTTCTCTAAGCCTTTGTCAATATTAATTAATAAACAGAAGTTTTATAACGTTAAAACTTTTAATAACTTTCGTTGATATTAATTTGTAATCCACGCACAAGATTTCCCGCATAAAATCCCCTCATAACACTCCGATTTCACTCCCGTGTAGCATAAAATCCTATCCTATGCATAAAACACGAACCTCTCGTGAAAATGACGGGCATCTATCCATCCGCACGTCCTTCCCTTCGTTCTCATTCCCATAACGAGAGAATGTCGGATATCGTGCACCTTATTTCTGTTTAGATATCCACGACGTACAATGTTATTTCTGCCACTCCTTCCTGTATTTTCCTTCTCATTTCTCCACACTTTTTTTTCACGCCGTCATCGCCCGTTCTTTTCCGTGTTTCCCCCCTTTTTTCCCCTCGCGCTCACCAGTCTCCTGTCTCTCCTCGCCTCCTCATTTGGTGGGCTTTATGGACACGAAACTCACCCGGGTAAGCGTCACGTAAGCGAACCCGGTAATGAAAACGTCGCTGACGCGACGAGATTCCAGCGGCGGTCCATGCCGGCCGATGTATATTGTTATTACTCACGATATATCCATGGAGAGCGAATCACCCTAGCAGGAAGAAGCCGACCGCGATCAGACTTCCAATAACTTTTCGCGAGTGTGTTTCACGGGGTACGTCGCCGTTGTCTCGGCGTAGAAATCAAGAACAGCCCTTCGACGATTGATTTCTCAAAAAATTTACATCACTTCCGAAAAGTTATTTTTATGCACAGAGTCTCTCGTATAAATTTTAATAGTTACATGCATATAAATAATTAGAATATTTGAAATTAAGCATTATATCATGATTAATCATTTCAGTTCCAATTTTTGTATTATTTCTTACTGCTTTAAATTTCTTCGTTATCCGAATATTATCTATATGGAAGGATCGAGGTAATTTTATTTGCAATACATTCTTTCTTGCGAGTCTCGCTAATGATCGTGACCCTTCGATCGGCGCCAATACCACCGTTAATGGATCTCGCGCTACCAGTGCGCCGGCGGAGAAGTCTCGTTAGCTCGAATTAACTAAGCATCCATTTACTTTTGGTGACAACACACTTTGCACACTCGATAAAGCATTCCTCTCCGGACGTCAGTCGACTCGATGCGCGTCGTTATTACTCAGGTCGTCGATGGAGCGAGCAGCCCCTTTTCAAGAGAGCGCCCGATCATGCTTTCTAGAAGTCGAGTGATATCCGATTCAATTACGTCGAAGTGACGGACCATCGCCCTACGTCATCCCGGACTTTTTATTCCGACACAAAAGCATCGCGCTGAATATCCACTTGAATATAATTATTATTGATGGAGTACATTTGACGTCGAAACGTTTTGCCTCGAAAATTATTTCTCTTAATATTGTAATATTGTAACTCGATATAGAAATGTACATTCTCTATTTGTGATTCAAAATTTTACTTACAGATTAAATAAAGAGATATATTATTTATTGCACATGTGTGTGTGTGTCTACCTCACGGAGAAAATTTTATAGTAAATATTACTATGGTGTCGCACTAGCTGCGGATCATCAAGACGCACAAGTTTAAATGCTATAGTCTTATAGTAAAATTACTATGTCCATAGCATTTAGTGCTACGATCATAGCATTTAATTATAGCTATAATTAAATAATATAAAATTATACTTAATTATAGCTATATAGCTATAATTATAGCATTAAATGCTATGATCGTAGCACTAAATGCTATGGACATAGTAATTTTACTATAAGACTATAGCATTTAAACTTGTGCGTCTTGATGGACCGCAGTTGGTGCGACAGCATAGTAAAATTTAATATAAAATTTTCTCCGTGCTGCCATTATTTTTATATAAATATTGCTCAATCCTTTAATGAGGACAATCAGACGCTAAATTAAAGGGACATATTTTTTTAGTATAACTTAACATTGTCTTATTGTTAGTTTAATAATAAAATTCCTTTTTCGGAGCTTTAGAATTCCTAAGTAGAAACAGCAGCCATACAAGCGCTCGAACAAGAATAAATTCTGATACTGCTAAAAAAAATAATTGAAACTATCCTATCGATCCCCTCCCCCTCTTTCTCTCTCTCTATATCCGAATCGCGACGCATCTTTACCACGAATGATTTGTTTCGCCCCGAACTCTCGGGTGGATAAAACGGCCCGTGACACCGCGTGCGCGCGCGAGGGGGGTCGCTCACCCCGTATAAATCGAGCAATCGAGCGCGGCCGAGCCTCGCACCCGGACTTCCGTTCGCCGATAACGAATATTACGAATGGCCGGACGGTGTCTCGTTTTTGATTGTTCCTCTTTTTTGAAACGCCGCGCGCGCTCACGCCCGATACGGTCACCTGCCGCTGATTTACATCGACACGGTGCGGGCGGACGCATCAATTTGCCGTGCCGATACTTCGTCTAATCGGACATCGGAGCGTTATCCGCGGCGGCGATGCCGCGCGTGCGCGCGCGCGCGCACGCGATGGCTACATGTTGGAGGCGGTATCGATATATACGCATTATCCGGAGCGATTTCGCTCGCATACACCGGCCGCGACACGCGTGTCACTTGTTCACTCTAAATCGGCTGATTAAATTATGGTCCTTCCCTTCCCTTTCCTCGCCCACCCTCTATCAAGCCCGCGACACGCTACAAAGATTAATCCGGAATCCGTTGGCGTAGCGGAGGATGATACCTTCGACAGATATGACCACGTGCCGAAGACAAATAGTCCTTTGATCGACGTGATGCGTAAACAACTCGACCGAGCGGACGAGTCTCTTTTCGTGGATTTTGTTTGCGTAAAAACAACATCGTGTTGCGTATATAATCTGAACACACAGGAATTTGGATGGCGCGAAAACGATCGTTTATTTCATTTATTGTATTAACTAGTTCTTTGCGGGAAAAACTCTCGCGCGCGAAACGGTGCGGGCGGATTCAATTGGAATTGGACGGCATGGTCGATAGATGGGTTAAAACTTTATACCACAGGTCCCCGAATTCCCGAGTGAAAAAAATATTTTGTGGAAAGAGCCGGGCAATAAATCGTCGGAACGATCGGACACAACCGGACATCCGGCTTGTTTAAAAAAATCAAGAAAGTACTTTAATTAAAAAGCTCACGTTTGGAAACGCAATATTTCTTCGTTATACGTTTTGCTTAACATATTATATATATGTTACAAAATATATCATATGATGAATCGTTCGTCATTCTTTGTGAAAAATTCCTAATATCATAAATGTCCAAATAACCATATATAACCGTATATATCACGTGCTTTTATTTAATTTTAAGTTTAATGTTGGAATTTTATCTTGACGTCTTAGTAAATTTTTCACAATTAATTAAAATCCGAATTTAATTGTCACGCTCAATCAAGAGTTCGATCGTTTCTCGTAAGTTCACTGACAAATTACGCCATCGCCAATGACACTGATAACGCTTTATCTCGCGAGAGGCAAGTCTGAAATTATACCGCGAAAGAAAATCCCGCGGCGCGCCGTATGCGGCGCATACAAATTTTGATAAAAACGCGGACTTATCGCGTTTTGTGGAGGCGGCCGCGGAGATATGCACGGCGGCTTAGTAGGACGAATGGGGGGATATCCAACGCGGCGGAGAAACGTACACCAGCCCCGTCGCCGTCGAAGGCAACCCGGGGTTGGAGTGCGGTAAGCAGCTCATTAGAACCCTCCCCGCCGACCGGCCATTATTGCCTCGTTCCGTATTCCGTTACAAATTGCTTTATTAAATTAAAGTCCCACAACCCACACTGTACCGCGTCACGACGACCCTGCGCGGCCGACCCTTCCTTCTACCCACCCCCCTCCGCCGAGTCCCTTTCACTTCTCGCCCCCTTGTATATACGCGCCCACATGCCGCATCGGACCGTGTGCGGCCCCCTCGTCTCTCCGCAGAAGACGTCCCCCTCGACTGTCCCTCTCGATTACCCTCGAAAATTTTCTCGAGCCTCTTTTTTCCGATCTAATTAAGACTTGGACGGCTCGACCGAGTGTGGCCGAGATTAAAAATGATCAGCCGACGCAAATGAGATAAAGTCGTTTAATCTATGAAGGTTTTCTAGATGATGCTGTTGACGCTGACGCTCGATAATAATTGTTGATTAGAAATTCGAAATGATATAAATGTCTTAAAAAACCAGTTTTGAATAAACTGGAGAAAAGAATAATGTCATCTAAAATGTCGATTTTAGTTGTTTAAAGATAAGAATATAAAGAAAATCATTCATATGGTGTTGAGAATAAGTACCTTAAAATTAATGCGCTCGTGAGAAGAATTAATATGAAAAATATAAAGAAAAAAAATGACACATTTATATCGTTTCATATATTCCTAATCTGCAATTTTTAGGCGATTGTAAATGTAACTATAAATAAAATAATTAACTTAATGAAATTAAATTATCGAAATATCAGAACAGTATGAGCTGCAAATATATAAAGACAGATTAGTTTGCTTTAAATATTCGTCCAGACTGATTTACGTCGGTAATTAAAATATAAATAATTGAAGAAGTAGAAGATATATCGTAGAAAAATCAGTCAGCTGTAATCGCGAGCCGAATGAAAGAGAGAAATATTAAATGTCTGCGGCAATAATTACCAACGTTATAAGGACCGTAATTAATTTCCGGAATACGGCGAATTAATTTCGAACTGCGGTTAAAATGAAATACTTCTTACGGTTATAACACGGAAGCTAATTATGCTCCAAGATATATCGCAGACATATTTTTCCTACGTAAAACAAATGGGGGTAAGTGTGTATATGGGGCAAGTGCATATAATAGCGTTGCATCATCGTAATAAATTTCATTGCGCTGTATAATTAGCATACTAGCAATATAACGAAATCATTATATAAGGTTACATGCACTTGCCCCATGTATGCATCTTATATTCGCTTATCTATAATCCAAGGTATTGATGTTAATATAACAAAGTAAAATATGACGATATTTCCCTATGACTCGTCATGACGAAAGTCACAGATGGGACTTGGAGTTTCCCCTTCAATTCTACGAATCGAAAAAGAGATCATGAGGGACCCGATAGAATGCCCGCACGACGGCACGCACAATCGAATGCACACAATTGCTCGAAAACGCAATAAAAGTTTACAATCGGCTCGTCGTAGGTGTGACATTAAAATTCCGTTGTGACTTTTTTGACTATCGAATTCAACGCCTCTTATTTCAACTGTTCCAAGAATCGGTGTTTTCTATTAAATGACGTAATATATCAGCATGCGAATAAAAAAGTACACAGTTATTTTTAAAAAATAATTCGGCAGAGGATGGCGATTTTCAGAAGCTTGAAAAAAGCGGAATAATAAATGTTTCAATCTGTTAGATGCGACTGTGTATTTTTAAAGTGACCATTATGATCTCTTCTCTTCTCTTCTCTTAATCTCTCTCGTTTCGAACGCTACGTCTTAGGTTAAATTAAACAGAACGCCGCCCTATGCTATTGACCAAGGCTAATTACTCCATTCGCAGCGAAGCGAAACGGATATTCAGGAGCCACTCATCGGGTGACGCGAATGTTGCAGTGTCGCAACAGCTGGGCTGTCAGCAAGCGATGACGGGCACGGGCGGCGGCGCCGGGGAACACGAGGGAGGCAAGAAGAAGCACACGAGGCCCACGTTCAGTGGACAGCAGATCTTCGCCCTAGAGAAGACCTTCGAGCAGACCAAGTACCTAGCCGGCCCGGAGCGCGCCAAATTGGCGTACGCCCTCGGGATGTCGGAATCTCAAGTCAAGGTAACATCTCCGCTACTCCACTCTCACTGTACATTCGGCGAATTGACGCGAATGACATTTTTGTTCGATCAATCTGCATAATTTTGTCTTTCGTTGTTTAAAAATCGCCACGTCTTCTAAAAGAACAATATATCCTTTACGTTTATCTCCGAAATTAAAGATATATCTTTTTTTAGATGCTTAGTTGTATGGAAAAAAGGTTTAATATTTTTTGTTTTATATTTGACGAGAGGTACTTTGCAAGAGCGATAGGCCAATACAATAAATATAAGGGTTTTACGTGATTCACATTGTAAATATCTCGACACTCGTCAAAACCATATCGCGAGTATCCCTTCGTGAAAAAGAAGGCGAGGAGACATTTGTCTTCGAGTTCGCCGCTGACACCGAGAGATCGATCAAAGCATCGCCCCGGCGCGGGAAACGCAAATCCGCGCGCGCTGCGAAGTAATCCGCGACCGAAAAATCTCCCTCCGAAAAAAGAAATCCGCCTGCGATCGCCCGTCGACGCCCCGAGAGGGGCCCTTCCACGATGGCTCCCGCAAAAAGCGGCTCGCTCGCGCGCGGAGGCGCGATTTTAAAAAACGTCCTGCTCGTTGCCCGGCTTACTCCATCAACGCGCCCCGCCCGCGGGGCAGGGAAGGCACAGGGAGCGAGAAAGGGGGAGGGGGCGACCGGAGGAGGCGGGAAGGGAGGGCATCTAACGAGGTAGCCGGTAAAAAAGTTCGAAGGATAAAAGAAGGTGACAAAACAGCCGGAGACGTGTCAAGCTTTGCGGCACCTGCGTCATCCTCGGCGTCGCTCTCTCGCGGATGCCGGCGGTGCGTCCCCCCTCTCCCTTTCGCTACCCTCTCACCGTCACCGGAAGGGAGAAGAACGGGGAACACCGGGTGAGACACGGGTGAAACTCGGGTGAGGCCGCGGTGACGGTGAGCGAAAGGACGGAGGGAGAGAGAGTAAGCTTTTGCACTCCGCTCTTCTTCCTCCCCGGGCATCTCTCTGGCCCCCCGCAAGCTCCTCCGCCTCTTCGCCATCCACCTTCGGCGTTCCGCTCCGAGTCGAAGCTTTCCTCTCCACCCTTCGTCTCCCTTTTCCTCCTCTTCCTCTTCTCTCGCCATCTTCGACCCTCTAAGAGAGAGAGAGAAAGAGAGAGAGAGAGAGAAAGCTTCCCATTTGGAAACCCTCAACCCCTGCTGCAGGGCAGGGTTTTCCCTTTCTCTCCCTTTCTGTCTCACTCTCTTTCTCTCTCTCTCTATCTATCTATCCCTCGCGGACTCGGGCGTCGATGTAGCGCTGTCATTGGTTCGTTCTACGCCGCCATATTTACATTTTTATTGAAAGCTACAAGTCTGTGTCGGTGAGTGATGGCGAAGGGGGAGCGAGAGTGCGAGCGTGGCGCCCCCTGAAGCCCACGGGGGTTGGGGTGGCCAGGGGGGTAGACGAGGGACGCGACACGGAGGGTGGACGAGGAGGAGTTGCGCGGAACAAGAGCGCGCGGGGCGAGGGATCGCGCCGCGGGGGTGAGGAGGGTTAGCATTCAATTACCTCGGATTTCCTCGGGAAGAGGCGATTCACCTCCGCGTATATGCCATCTTCGAGGGCGAGATTGCCACCGGATCTCGGAGAGTGCCGGCGCGTTTTTCGAAATATTACGACAATATATACCCGCGTACTCTTTTACGCGACCGGCTGACTTGGGAAAAAAAGATCGGGAGGGGAAGGGAGGGGTTGTTTACATCAACACCCCCGATGAATCCCGCGTTATCTCGCGGTATCGTGCGATTTCCTTTAAAGTTTCTCAGCGGCAATCGTGTAACTATCTGCGGTATAACATATATAATATATATCTGTATGATAGGGGGGAAAAATGGCGATATCGACTGGATTACAGCTGTTGCTTTATACATTTAGCGGCTTCACCCCTACGCGAGAGATTTCGATCTAAATGTTTCAATTTTCTTCGAAAATGAGATCATCCGCTAATAGAATCGATTCCAAGAATTCGCAAGCTTTGTCATTAAAAAAAAAAAGCGAGAAAAGGCGTATACGAAAAATTTCAATAAATCTGTCGCTTGTCCGAAATTAAAGAAATCGCGTAACTGCGCTCGCGCGGCGCGGCATTGCGACTGTGCGCGCAATGGTTGTTTTATTCGAGGGTGGTATCTTATAATTGGGATACGCGGGAGGATGTAGAGAACGATGCGGTCGATGCGAGCGGAATATCAAGGATAGATCGATACCGTTCCCTCGCGGTTTCGGGTAATACCGGATCATTACATACTGGACCTATCACTTTTTTCAATATTGGAAAGGGATTTACGCGGTACGAAGGGATTTGGCAGCGCTGCCCGATGAAGATTTATACCGGCCCGCCATTTCACAATTCCAGATTTATAACTTTTTCATTATCGAAACGTATACCTTACCGACGCCCGCGTCCGTATGGGGGCACGCGAGAGAGAGAGAGCGCGCGCGTGCGATTCTTTCTCTTTTTTTTCCTTTTTTGTTCGCCTAATAGCGCGACTGTGTGGATTTCGGGAGATGTAATCTCCCGGAATACATTTTGCCACCGATGGTTCACGGGGTTATATCCGTCAGGCTGTACAAATTGCCCGCACGTTAATATATTCGATCAACCGAACGTCGTTGCACGAATGTGACTCCCATATCCTTCTCGCGGAACGACACGGGAAGGAGCGTCTCTCCGTAATGCGCGCGGTCGGTGTTCGCATAAATTCTTGCGATGAAATATTTGCCGGTGATGTATATGCGTAATCTGAGCTAATAAATGATACAGGTGTTTCACATACACACACACACACACATACGTACGTATAGTATTTTGTACGCGACATGTGTGTAACATTGAATTTAAAATCACTACAGGTCTGTGTATAGAACCTTTTTATTATTACATTATTATATATTATGTTACTATATATATTATATTGTTTAATTTTTAATTAATAAACAAGCGTTACTTTTTAACATAGCTTTCTCCTTGAGAGACATATTTATTCCTTCTAAATTGTAAATATTATTATCTACAAAAAGAAAGAAAATTAAGTTAAATTAAATACCGCGAACACTTGTTTGAAAAAATTGCCATCGTTAATTCTTCGGAATTCCGCATCAAAATATATGCTTGATACATTTATATACATATGCAATTCATTTATACAATATTTCCTCAAACGGATTAATTAATTTCGTCACGCGTCTAATGAATAGCGCGATCGAATGGGTATAATTTCGTCATTGTCGAAATTGGCAATGATGTCCGTCGCACGATTTAATCAGGGACCACCGCGTAAACACTCAGTTAAGGCAAGTCAAGTGCAACGCGACGCGACGAGACGAGACGAAGAGCTTTTAGCATGAATGACCCCCTCAGCTAGCGCGCGTGTCCCCCTATTAGAATCTAATACGGCAAAGTGAACGCGGGGCATTTGCGAGTTAAAGACCGTGGCGCCCCTGTCTCGTAGGCGGGCTCTATCTCTCTCATATATCGGAGCGTGTATCACGAGGGAGAACGAGAGATAGAGGGTAGCTTCGAGGGCGATGAAGAGCGCGAGAGCGAGCGACAGCACAGGGGGTTGTTCGAGGATAGTGACAGAGAAAGAGAAAGCAAGAGAGAAAGAGGGAGGGAGTTGGACAGGGTTTTGTATAGCGATGGCATCGACAGTGAATCAGGGGGATTAGATACTTTCTTGTACAGATGATGCCGGGGGTGTGGTAGTCGCGATTCATTGCCGCGACGGAAAGTCAGCGGTCTCTGCAGCTTCTCTCTTTATCGAGGCGATTGCGGATACGGCGGAAGGGAGTGTTTGGATAGACTATAACTTTGTTGAGCTGGTTGAAGTGTGTGCGGGGGGGAGCGGGGATAGTCCTTTATCTCTAAAGTGCGGTCTAATAGTTGTCTGAATTGCACGAATCCTATTTAAATGGATTGTAGATTCGGACTTGAAGATGCCACTTAAAAAAAGTTGACTATAAATTCACCGAAAACTTTTTCTAATGTGCTGTGTCTTGAACTCAGGACAGAATCATTAAGAGAAGACGAAGATTTATATAAATAATGTGAGACACATGGTTAAAATAAAACTTTAAAAATTAGTTTTCTAATATAATTGCCTTGAATGTTTCTGTAGGAATAATATAATTCTGCTTAATAAAAGTATATAATAAACTAATATTCGTATGAATGCTTTACGCTGTACGTTAGAAAAAATAGAACTTAATAATTATTAAAAAGTTATTAAAAATAATAAGTATTTATTTAATTGTAATGACATCATTAGAGCGTTGTAATCAACCTTATAATTAGAGGACATTCATAGCGTCACTTTTACCACACAATCAACCGACTCACCCTACTTCAGTAACTTCCCTTCCTTTCGCCATTGCTTTTAAGCAAAACATCCTGCACCATTTCGAGTTAATTGAAAACAGCGGCATCCCCAACACATTAAACACGATATCAAACTACACGTCGCAAAACGGGCTCGGGCCCTTCGCTACGACTGTGTCTCCTCCAAAGGGCAAACGCTATGGATAGGGTCACCAGTACACGCAGAATTGCAACGTGCCTTACAACGTGCGCTGCGTATCCCTATTCACGCTGTACGATAGCGGTGATGGTGATGCTGATGGCAAAGTGGTTCCCCGTCCAGGCAGAATGTGCGGCAGCAGCTACCGGAGGGGGACCGGCTCGGTGACTGGGGGGTTGGTGGGCCGAGTTGTTTACGGCGGAGTAATCTGCTCGTCGACGGATACCAATATCGATGACGTCAATTAGTACGAGGCGGAAGGTCTCTCTCTCCCCCCCCCCCCCCCTCTCTCTCTCTCTCTCTCTCTCTTCTGCTCCGCTTCTCCGCCTCTGCCATGTATCATCATGGCGGTGTATGTACGCGGCGCGGCGCGGCGTGGCGTGATAAATCACGGCAGCAGGCGGCGTACCCTTCATTCACCTCCCACTACCACCATCAGTGTGCCGTATC